ATAATGGCACTGTCCCAAAGTCGATGCACCATCGAATTCAACGGGCGGGATGATCGCGCGCGAACGGGCGTTTTGCGCGTATTCGCGTATAGTTGGCTGGTCTTGAGCTACGCGTCCGCGAGTAATTCGATATTCGACAAAGCGTCGTCGATCGACCGTGCGCTTTGCATGCAGCGCATCTTGCCGATCGATCGTAATCGATCGGTCAACGATCGCGCGCTATTCGCGAATGCTTCGCGCTTCGTGGGACAGAACCGAATTTCGATTTCGGCCGATTCGCCTCTCGTGCATACGCGCAGACATCAAACGCACTTTAACCGCGCTGCGCGCAAACATTCCGCTTATAATCGTCGGATCGGTACGCGTCGGATCGGAAGCGCGGAAGAATCGCGCAAAGGATTATATTGCGCGACCAAAACCGCGCGACAGAGAAGAATCGAATTCTGAAATGTAATTCCCTGAGATTGTGTGAAAATATCACCCATAAAAAGTTGATGCTCTCTTTAGATATACATGTAATAAATAACACAATATCATCTATAAAAAGAGATATATTTTTATTACAAGCAGGTTTCTTTATATTAGAGTGGGATGTATGTGGAAAAATCCATATATATATAGATACTATTATAAATGATTCAAAACATTATTTTTTTTTTCTCCCGACTGTCGACTACGGTTGCGTCGAACGATATCAATCTCTCGTCGTAGAAAATATAAAAAGTTAACGTGTCAAGAAATCAATATCGTGTAATAAAACTAAATTTATTGTAATAAATCATGTTTAATCATTTATTATCCCAAGCTATTTAAGTCAAACCACGTACGTTAACGATGCTTTCAATTGTATTGCGAGCGTATTTATCATTTGTAGAAACTAAAACTGTCACTATCTGCGCGGCACAAAACCGTATTTTAACCAAACTGTAATACTGTAAACCATTAAAGTGTGTCGAGCATGTTTCAATTATGATCGAAGATATCTCCATGTAAATGAAATAAAACAAAATATCAATAAATATACGTACACGTTAAGTGTATTTTTAAAAAGTCAAGAATAATCCGTCGCTAGTTTTTACTGTATGCGATGTATTTTGAAAATTTTCACGAGTCATGTGTCTTATTTTATAAATTCGGTTTACAAAATTGTCAACTTTTTTTGAAAATGATCCAATCCTGGATCGAAACGTTAGAAATAAGATAATTTTTTTGTTACACACTATCGTCCGTGTCTTAGACTCATATTAATCTTTTCTGAATTTATTTTTTTTTTAATTCAAATTTGTGCGTAAGTGCGTCCGCGCCCGAAACAATTTCGCAAATAATATTATTCACGAAATATTGTTGTACATTTTGCATGTGCATGACGTAACATTTTGCGCCTAGCTACGCAGAATAATTACATTTGCTTTGCAGTTAAATCAGAGCGTGAAAGCACCTTAATTAAAATCTTCTTATTTTAGAAACTTATTAGAAATGTATTAAAGTGCTCTGTTGTGCGATCTATTCGCACGTCTCTCTCTCTCTCTCTCTCTCTGTCTCAAGAGAGACAGAGATGTGAACACAATCCCTTTAATGGGTCTTTACATACATATACGCGTCTGTTACGATGCGCAAACGCGTTGTCTGACGGGTTGCAGTAAATCACGTCTGCAACGACAGATCGTTTGAATTCGGTAGGTCCGAGAAACGGTGATGCGCTCGCGCGTGGAAAAGTGCAAGAAAAAGAATACGAGCGCCGCTGCGGCGTTAATTACGGCGCGCAGCGCGCTTAAGTGTCGCCATTTAGCCCGGGATTAATCTGTCACGCAGCGAGCGTGAAAAACTATCCGTTTAAGAGGCCGACTCTCATGGAGGAGCGTTTGATTGGCAGTCTGTCTCGAGACAGACAGAAAGGAGAGAGAAAGAAAGAAAGGGGAAAGAGAAACGGAGAAAGAAACCGAGCCTGTCTCTCTTTCTTTCTCTCGCGGTCGCGTCCGCGCACTCTTTCTCGCTTGTCTCCCCTTCGCGCGCTCGCACTTATAAAGCCTCTTCGCTCGCGCGTATATTCGACTCGGAAGTGGTGTGAAGAGAGAGAAAGAGAGAGAGAAAGAGAAAGAGAAAGAAAGAGAGTGAGATGAGAGGACAGGGAAGCGGAGGAAGACTTTATTTTCGGTAGTCCGACGACGGGGAAGGAGAGGTTCATCAGCGCTCTCGAGCGAGCGAAGAGGAGAGTCTTCCCGACGTGGAGGAAGACAAGATGAAGACGACGAGGCGAAAGAAGAAACGAGAGAGCGAAGAAAGCAAGAAAGAAGAAGAAGAAGAGAAAGAGAGAGAGTACACTCCGAATATAATTTAAAAAATGACGAACAGCCGTACAAGCAGATGGAAGTACACTGAATCTCACGTCTTCACCTTGCTTACGCGGCTCGCGCGAAAGTTAAAAAATTTTTTTCTGCTTTGTTTCCGGATATTTTGCGCGTCACGATCGCGTAGAATTTTTGGCAAATCCCGCGTTTTGCTCTCCACTGGAGATTCGTTCGCGGTCATGAATGCGCAAATATTCCGGAAATAAGACGAGTAACATCCAAAAACTCAAGAGGCTCTTGATCTGGCAAGATGAAGGTTTACGTATATATGAGATTCAATGCATACGGGTGAGAGCGTGAGATAAAGAGCACCGTTTCTCTCGCGGGGAGAACAGCGCAAACAGGGGAGACAGAGGAGGGCGGGAAAGAGAAAGAGTGTGAGGACACACAGCGATAAACGGTGAGACGGCGAGAGAACTCGCGAGGCGGCAGAGCGACAGAGCGACAGAGAGGAAGAGCGTGAGAGAGGACCGAAGCGCTCAGAGAAGAGGACCGTGAGGATCACGCGTGCGGTTCCTTCGGTTGTTAGGTCGTTGTTATACAGGTTCTTAAAGGTCCCGTCGTCGCTCCGTCCCGTTGCGCTCCGTCTCACTCGCGCGCGGCGCGGTGCGCGCGCAAGCCTCGACCGGCGTCCGCCAGGCGCCGCTGGCGCTGTGGCCGGCCTCGGTCTGCTCGCGCAGGCCGCTCAGTCTAATTTGAACCGTCGCGCGCGCCCGACGCGGGGCCACCGACGATCTCTCTCTCTTCTCCCTACCTCCGGGCTCTCGCGACACGCGTGACACGCGAGGGCACCTCGTGTGTGGATGCCGCGTGCGACACACGCGACACGGTCCCCCGAGTCGATCGAGACCTCGTGCGGAGACTACTCCTTACGCGGGACCATCTTCGCAGAGAGACGAAGCGATTTTTCTCGGCGCGAGGGAATATAAAAAAGAAAAGTCGCAAGGGAAGAGAGAAACTTGAGAAGTGTCGCCAATCGGCCACGCGCCGACGGCAAGTACGACTCATACATACATTTATACATACATACACGTATACACACACATTACGTGTTGTGCTCACAGTACGTTTGCATTGTCGTTGATGCGCGAGATAAACTTCGAGAAAGAGAGAGAGAAAGAGAGAGAGAGAGAGAGACATACACACACGCACATACGCACATACGTACACATCACGTGTGGTGCTCGTACGGTACGTTCGTAGCATCGCCCGACAAATAATCCGCGTTGATGCGCGAGATAAACTTCAAGAGACACTTTAGAAATCGAGCGGAGAAAAAAAAAACGAGAGAATACGCTAGTGAGATAACGCGTGCGAGAATATATCAGATAAGTTACTACTGTCAACGTTCCTTGTCTCCTACTCCGATTCCCTCGCTCCCTTCTTCTCCACCGTAGCGCGAATCGCCGAGGGTGGCCCTCTCCGATAAAGCGGAGCTATGCGCGACGCGCGCGCGAGAAAGTGGTGAGCAGCGGGCAAGAAGAGTGTAGTGCGCGCGCGAGCGAGCGAGCGAGCGGGTGGCTGCACAACCGAGAGAGAGCAGCGGGCGTTTCGTGGGTATATTTAAATAGTGTCTCGGCTGGTCAGAGAGAGAGGAACCCGACGCTTTCTTCTTCGTCGTCGTCGTCGTCGTCGTATTCGTCGTCGTCGTCGTCGTTACCGTCGCCGTCTTCGTATTCCTGTTCTCGTCTCCGACTTCTCGACGCCCGCGTCTGCTTTACCCGCTTCGGAGTGCAACGCGATACCGAGTCTTGGACAGTGCGAGAGGAAGAAGTGAGACGATTGCTCGCGAAATACCGTTCTCGACTCGATGTTGCTAACGGATTGGCAGGGATTTCTGACAGTCGCGGGTGTACCCTGCTGCGTCGATCGGTTCTGTTTATCTGTTACTCACGCGTACGAACACGTGGACTAGAAGACTATACTGCTTATTGCTTGTCGGCTCGTCGGAGTTTCCCTCGTTTGGAATCGCGGAAAAACTCGGAACTCGCAGCAGAGACAATCGAGACCAGACTCCGGTTTACATCGGGCCATAATAATGTTGGTGCGCGATCGCGAGGCATAATGAAAACCAGAATCTGTGAAAGACCGATGCTGATTGTCGCATCCGCGATCGTCGGAGCCGCCGGTCGGGATCATCTGCGATAATACAACATTTTTCAACAAAAGAGCAAGAAAAAGATACAAAAGGAAGAACAGACAGAAGCGGCCGCATGGTGCGGCTCGCCACGGCTGCCTCCGCTGATTTCGAGGATGAGGTCAATGGTATCGCGTAAGATGAAGACGAATGTGGATGAAGAAGTCCCGACGTTTCACTATCGATCGTACAACACTTCGTGAAAAGTCTGGATCCGGGAACTGAACGGGAAACGAATCGGCCGAATAGAGACGAGAGAGAGAGAGAGAGTCGCGGAGTCGAGTCGAGTCTCGACCGTAAGAAATCGAGACGAAAAGATTGGAGAAATAGAACTCTAGTTTGACGTAGAACTCGCTGATATTTGCGACGGTGAGCGGGGCTCGTTCTTCGAGCCGAGTAGGAGGAGGCGGAGGAGGAGGAGGAGGAGGCGATAAGAGCGCGTGCCTCTGTGCGAGTCGGGGTGACCGAGGTGTCAACCTCACACCCCCGATCACACCGTTAACCAGGGTTGGATGATGTGGGCGCCTCTGCTTTTGGCCGGGTTCTTAAGCGGCTGGTGGGGCGCACTGGCGCTCGCTGCGGCACCCCCCGCCATTCGGGACACCCTCGGAAAAACGTCCGGAGTGACGAGCATCATCGAGGCGAGGCATTATCGTCCACTGTCCGAGAGCGCAGTGGACGAAGCCGTTCCGCGGGTGTATCAGCCAGAAGAAATTCAGAGACACCCGGAACAATCGTCGTCCGAAGAAATTTTCGCTCGTCGCGAAGATCTTGACGAGGTCGATTTGAGTCCGTTGAACGATCGAGAGAGTTATTCTCAAACGGAAAAACACTCATCGGAAAATGACGCGCGACAGATCTCGCGACAATTTCCCGGATCCTCGGAAGAATTGCTTCTGGAAGGGAACTTCGGGATTCGAGAAGTCACGCCGGGTCTCACACAATCGGAGGACTCGGCGAGGAATATCGTCTCCGCCGGCGAGACGGAGCGAGACGTTCGCGTATTTCATCCGGAGATAAACGAGTCCGGTCTGACTCGCGCGTCCCATCACTCCTCAACACAGGCACCCCTTACGTATTCAGCGGCGGTGGTGCCGACCACGCTGGCGGAGTCGTCGATGGAACGGCCGCGGGTCGTCCGATCGGCGAAGCAACGACCAAAGAATCGCACCAGAGCGGATTCGCCGCGCGAGCAGCGACGCCGGTGCAAGAACAAGGAACGGGGCTGCCGCGGCCAGAACTGGTGCCCGGATCTCGATGTCGGCAATCGGGCGTTTCTCGCGCCCACCGTGTTCGAGGGCAAAGCGCGCAGCATGTCGCTGAGAAAGCCCGGCTCCAACTATGCGGTGACCTTCGAGGTGAAGCAGGTCTACAAGAGCCAGCCTGGGTTTCAGCCGCTTCAGAAGAACGACAACGTGCGGCTGCACTTTCGCGACAAATCGACGTCCGGCAAGTCGACCGTGTGCAACAATTACGGCAGCTACGACGCCGGCAGCAAGGGCGACAACCAACAGCAGCAACGCGATAATCCGAGTGGTGTGGTGCGAGCCAATATTAGAAGAGGAAGAGTGTATCTAGTGTTTGTGAATCGCGTGGGACCCAGGAACTTCACGATCCTCGGCGAGCCGGTGATCCGAACTAAGAAGAACGAACAGGCCGTCCAGGCTGTCGTTCGGCCGGATTACGGTGAGTCCAAGAAATTATGCGCGCTCGTTTCTTCCCGACTGAGACAGTCGGTCGGTCGCGTGCCGATAGAAAGTGATAATCGAGGACTTGACGTGAAAGGGCCAGCAAGAAAGCACCATATGGCATCCAAATTCTATAGTCGGCAGCGTCTCAAAAGAGATTACTTGTAAAAATATTTACGGCGTATCCGAAAAAAAAAACCAAAAAAGAAAAAAACTGAATGGAGAGACTCTCAAACGTTCTCTTTGAAACGCGATTGAATATCATTTAGAAACAAACTTTTCCTAGATTTTTTGGTTTGGCACTTGTTGCGCGCTTTTTACTTCAAGTCTTCGATTTAAATTGTTTACCGGAAAGTTTATTCTTTTCGGAACAAGTTCGTTCGCTTCTCTCTGCTTACTTTTAAAAGATTGCGAGCTGTTTTTTTTCTCTCTTTTTTTTTTTTGGTTTAGGAGAACTGCTCGTATACTTGAATCTTAAATGAGCATTCTTATGGAGTGGTATTTAACGCCGCTGGGACACTCTCAAGTGCAGCACTAATTAGTGCTCTAATTAGAGAACTGTCGTGCCACAAAAATTATTTAGAATCCTTGTCATTTTTAATTCAGTGAGACTTAAATACTCCGGTTTTACGTGCTAAATAATAACTGCGTTCTTAAACTGTGTCAATTGAAGTTGACATACTCGAACACCGCGCAACTTGCAATCGAACGTCGTAAAGAAAAAGAAAACTTATTTTAGATGACACTTTTAGATAGAGCAGATGTATTGCGCGTAAGATGCACGGAGAAATGAACGGAATCGCTGCATATTTGGGCGAGGCAAAGATTAAAGATTAATCTCTCTGAGGATTATCTGAGAAATGGGAAAACAGAAGCGCGCGGCGGGATTTCTCACATGTCCCGGATAATTGTTCGTCGCAGAGCGACGACCGATCGATCTGTCATGACTCGAGGACACAATCGAGGTTTTGCCGAACGAAACTTGCTAGTTTTTTTTTTAACTGAAATGCGTAGTCGATGCAGGAAATTCTCGATCAGAAGAGGAAAGGAAAGAAGAGTAAGAGAGAGAGAGAGAGAGAGAGAGAGAGAGAGAGCTTGGGAATATAGCGCGCCAATATTGTTAATACGAGAGAGGGAGGCTTCCCCAACGGGAAGCGTATGTATATTTCCCTTTCGCGCGGATAGCCCGGCGATACGACATCTAACTTATGTAAATGCACGTGAATATTTTAATTTACGCGTGATATATTCCGACTGGGCGATAGTACGGATATATTCTGTGTTCAAATTTGGTATAGCGCGCGGGCGCGTGACGTTTATTAATTTACCGAACGTGTTTCACCCGCTAATTGGAGCATAAACTTCGTACGGTAAATCGTAGATATAGAAGGTTAAAAGAAATTTATTTTTCAATCCAAATGAGTTTGTTATAGCGATTAATACGAATTCGTAATCTACGAGCGGCGGGGGGGATGTAGCTTCGGTACATTTTAATTTTCTTCTCCCAGCTCTCGAGTCACGTGCGTGTTTTATAATTCCCTTTTAATCGATATTGGAAGCATTGAGGATTTATAACAGAAGCAAAACCTGTAACGATATCGAAGTCATGGAATTTGTGATAAAACTCCGCGGAAGCTCTTTTACGTTTCTACATATATTCTGCGACCATTCTTTTTTTTTTTTTCTTTTCATTACGTTTTTTAACATTCATATACATATCTCTCTTTCAGACAACTGTGATATTTTAATTAAAGACTCGTTATACGTGTGCGCGAAACGTCGTTTCTGACTTTTAACAATCTCAGAATGTCGAAAATGATTTATTTCAATATTAACTGATAACGCGCTGATAAATTTACAAAGTCGCAAAGTGGACGAGACAAATGTCGATCAACTGATCACGAATGAAATCGATCACTTACTTGTCAGAAACTCAGATACGATACTAACTATTATAGCTACAATATACGCGACGGAATCACTCGCAATGAGCGTCGCATGCGCCGGTTGATAGCTCGCTGACTGCAATAATCAATTACAAAAAATGCAACTACTACCTGATAAGAACGTCGCGACTGTAATCACCAAGTCAAGTGTCGGTCAATTGATGATAATGATCATTATTACGGCAAAACAGTGTCAATGTCACGTTACGACGACCCGATTTGACAATTCAATTACGGTTCTGGCAAGTCGCGCGCACCCGACACGCTCGCAAATCGCAGCGGGCGTATTCTCGCGTGTGTTTCGAGCGCGCTTCGTCGATTAGCAATCGCGTCGACGTCGCGCCGCGTCGCGTAACGAGCGATGAGTTTTTGAAGGTAGTCCAATTTGTGCTGTCGACAGCGACAGCGGTTCAATGCGCTCTTCCACTTCTCCGCGCGCGCGCTCAATCTCGCCAAGACCAACTGGCCCCTACTAGGTCGTTGTATATTGCGATTGGATCGCCGTCGGACGACGGAGATGTCAACCGGTGACTCGCGCGCAATGACGATCCTCCGCGGTCAATTTATCGCGCCGAACGTGACGAACGACGGAACGTGACGTTCTCCTCCCTTGAGAAATCGCGAAATTCTGAGATATTCCTCGAGCGAGTCCGAATTAAGATGGGAATTTTGATCGTGTATTCCAGCTGTTGTTGTATTTCTCCTCAAGTTAATTAATTCATTTTAGGACTCCTAATTATGTGCAGTGTGCATACTCAGTTACCTTACGAAGCAGCTCACCAGCTGCTACGTACACACACACACACACACACATCACACACATAGATACGTGATGCGTCTCGTATAGCAGAATGTTTTTACTCTGAACTAAAATTTGAAAAACAAACTTTCCGGTAGTAGGTAAATGCGTGTTAGATAGTTGCGGTGAAAAATTCAAGTTAAAAGTAGAACGGCTGAGAAACAATTAACGTTTCTCTCTCCGTCGAACATAGAAAAATTTTAACGTCACTCGTTTAACGCGGTAGAAATCGCTGACGCAATTGAGACACGAGTAAGGAATCGATTCGATTTGATTTACCTTAAACGCACGACGCGGAAAAGTAGAAAGCCGCCGGCGGTAAACGACAAATTCCGCGCGGGCATTGGAGGATGACGAGGTCGGTCGCAGGCTTGCAAATTTTCTTCTTATCTTGAACCTCGCGTCGTGACGCGAGCGTAATCGTGAGCGAGAACGCGTCAGTTCCACCTGTCCTTAACAGTTAAACAAGCGGCGCGTAATCGCGACAGAGTCTGAAGCGATCGAGTCGAGCGGCGGAGTCCGAACGAGCGTGCAAAAGCGCGCACGCGCGCTCGATCTTCAATGTTAACGGAATAAGAGGTATTAATTAAGTGTGATAGAGTGTTAGCGGCCACTTCGCGTCGCTACTGTTACCCCGTGTACAGGGTGTCCGGAAAATTTTCTTGCCAACGTTTTCCTTCCGCGCGCGGATCTCTTAATGAGATTTGTGAATTTATTTCTTTTTGGATAAACAAAACGTACACTAAATCGTAGAAAGTTCAGATACGTTGAAGTGTTTTTTTTTTAAACAACAAACGACATTCTGTCTGGTATTGAGTCTTGTCATTGGTTGTGTAGATAAGATCTACCTAGTATGTGTAGACGTATAAAGGTCGGGTCAAGTCGCTACCGAGACTGGAGGTTCTTGATGAAACAGATAATGAGTTTCCAGCGATATACGAACACTTGCATAAAGATAGCCGATACGATCGTAAACATCGGAGGGAAAAAAGCTCGAGAGCGATGCAACATTTCATGCTCGTTGCAGGAATTCGAGATCTGTGTGTGCGGCACGGATCATTTATTCTAGAAATATCAAACTTCTCGCATAAACAAGCTCGAGAAGAAAAGGTGGAAAAACAGGTTGTAAAATAACTGTTTTCCGGAAATCAACTATAACTACGAGAAAAGTAAAACAGCACAGAGTTGTAGATGTTGTTAATCCCCTGTAAATAATTCTTTTTTTTTTCTAATTGCTTTTATTGAAACTTAATATTTTACATTGAATGTAATAATATCAAAAAATAAATGAGATAAATATTCTTTGATGTAAAATTCATAGTAAATAAAAGGAGAAAAGCTTTAGTACGTATATTTTAATGATATCTGACGAAAGTCTGAGTATATATATATATATTTATTTATTTATTTATTTATATATTTATATTTAAATGTATACACAACATATACAATTTTACACTTTTTTTTATAAAAGTACGTATACACACATATGTAAAATTTTAATCGTTATCGCTAATTGATCTAAAATAACGCAACTTCCATTCACAATTTTATTCCAATTTACCTCGATTACATGTTAACGTTTATTTATGCACAATTACGCAACCGCCTAGCTCTATAATGTTTATTTATAACACAGATTATTTTACAATCCCTATAGCGTACATGCTGTATGTGCTCTCGACAATTTGATTTGGATTGCACAGACTTTTACGATAACGTTGATAACAAATGAAGCTAATTTTTTGCGACGCAAATTATTGTTATAATATCAACAAGCAGAAATATATGTGCATTTCGAATAGAAATTGATTGATACACTAAATTCGGGCAAATAACCGAATGATTTTACTCATCAAAAAGACATTCATATATATACACAAAATGGAATTTAAGACTTTTTCTCTATGCACATTTGTTCCAGATTCTTTTCTTTATAATTTAAAAGATATAACGCTGGGAATTAATTTTTAAGATTGATTTGTTGAACCACATTGCATTCAATGGCTAATTTTCAAGAGGTGTCCGCGGTCGTAAACGCGGGTCTGAGACTCTCGGATCGAGGGATGTACGCGTTCTCGATTGTGTGTCTCGTCAGGCGACGTCCCGTGATTATCGTGGCGCATCGATTTCCACGGGACGCGTCGTTTTAATCAATGCGCGCGCGAACACAACGTGTCGTCTAAGGACCGATCGTTTCGCTCAAGTTTCGGAGAAGATCCACCGCGTTGGTATAATACCAACGTGAAAACG